GAAAACATTTGATACAATGTGCCCGAGGCAGGGACCAAGGCACCCTGAGCAGAAGCCATCCTGTGTCCCAGCCTCCAACTCCACTGGGCTCTCTATATCATCCGATGGTGGGCCTTTCTCTTGTCTTTCACTGGCCTCTCAGCCTGGACCACAGCACTCACTCTCATCAAGCCCTCATCTCTCTTCCTCTCTCCCATGTGGTTCCATAGTTCCCTAAAGCCCAATGGCCTGAGCTTATCCCCTCCTTATCAGCAGTCAAACTGGCTGCTGCTGCTATGAGCTCACCCACTGCCAAACCAGAAACCGGGGCACCCTCATTATCACCCTGCAGACCTGCTCCCTCCACCCAGCCCAACGGCCTCCACCCGAGTGGCCTGGCTTACTCCAACTTGGTCTTCCCACCTCAGCCCCTTTCCCTCTCAGTCCCCGTGGGTATCACTCCTAGCTATGTCCTCTGAAGTGACCATCAGCCCGTGTCACTTGCTGATTAAAACTCCTTCAGTGCTTCTCACATCCATGGGCCAAAGCCAAATTCCCCAGCCCGGTCGGGGATGAAACTTGCAAGACCCTCCATACTCTACCCACCCACTCCCACCCTCTACGGCAGCATCTGGAGCCATGGCCTTCTTCAGCCCCAGACACAAACACTCTGGGCACCTATTTCCCTCTCCTCCCCTTCCCTCTTAGGTGCCCAAAGATCTCATGGTTATCCTTAAAACTAAGTTCAGGGGCAGAGCCTGTGGCTCAGTGAGTAGGGCACCAGCCCCATATACTGAGGGTGGCAGGTTCGAACCCAGCCCCAGCCAAACTGCAACAACAACAACAAAAATAGCCGGGCGTTGTGGCGGGCGCCTGTAGTCCCAGCTACTTGAGAGGTAGAGGCAAGAGAATCACCTAAGCCTAAGAGCTGGAGGTTGCTGAGAGCTGTGACGCCATAGCACTCTACTAAGGGCGACAAAGTGAGACTCTGTCTCTAAAAAAATAATAAAGAAAAATAAAGAAAACCCAGTTCCAACACCTCTTCCTCAGTAGAACGGAGGTTCCTCCAGAAATTAAACGTGGAACGATCACATGATCCAGTAATTCCACTTCTGACCATATACCCAAAGGAAGTGAAAGCAGGGACCCAAACAGATATGTGGGCACACTCACGTTTATAGCCACATTATTTACAATAGACAAAGGGTAAAGCAACCCAGCATCCGCTGACCAACAAGTGAAAACAAAATGTGGCATACACGGACAGTGGAATATCAGCCTTCAAAAGGAAATTCTGACTCTTACTACAAAGCGGCTGAACCTTGCGGACATTATGCTAAGTGAAGTAAGCCGATCACAAAAGGCGCAGATTCCACTTCTGTGCAGGGCCCGGAGTGGTCAGAATTACAGAGACAGAAAGTGCAAGGCAGGCTACGGGGCTGGGAGATGGAGAGTCGGGAGTCAGTGTCTACTCGGTACAAACTTCCAACTGCGGGATGATGAAAAGTCACGGAGACGGGTGGTGGTGACGGTTGCACAACAATGTGAATGTACTTGAGGACGATAAATTGTATACTTAAAAATAGTTAAAATGGCAAATTTTATGTTTTGTGTATTTTACCATAATAACAAAAAGGCAAAAACAAAACATCTACCTCTTCTTCATGTGCAGATGCCCGCCCAGCACCACCACCTCCCCAACCCATGTGTCGTCCCCCTCCCCAAGCTCCCCATTACACATCCTGGGTGGGGCTGAGCAGACCCCTCTGTGCACACCCGTTCACAGCACACCCCAACATCTGTGTCTGCCCTCCCAGATTCAGACTCATTTCTGCAGGCAGGGACTCCGTCTCATTCCCTGCTCCCTCCCCCAAACTAGCAGGAGTATGAGAATAAATAATCCAGACCAAGAGTTCTGGGTTAATACTTCCCAAATGTCACAGCCTGTTGTCCCCCAAACAGTGATTTATTTCTAAGATTCGTCAACAAACCTCTCCTATCCCCTACTCTCCACTCCCAGAAGATCTATCCTTCCATTAAGCAACAAGGTCAGAGGGGGCTTCCGTGCATAAAGTTAATAAACAGCTAACTTGGGAGGAATAAACAAAATGAAACCAAGGGTAGGTCAGTGCAGGCGTGCCCTTGCATCTAATAACGCCATGCTCTCCTTCCTCTGCCCAGTGGGTGGGCTGATTCACTTCCTGTGTCCCCTCCCAGGGCAGCGTGAGAAGGAAAGTCGAGGAGCAGCTGAGTCCTGAGGGCACAGTCCATTAGATGATTAGTCAGCCTACTGCCCTGTTCTGGAAGTCCGCTGACCTTCATGTGTGGGCCCAGACCACAAGCCCCCCTCCAGCCCCCACCTTCTTATGTAACCCATGATAACTGACCTCGGCTCTCAGCATGAGGTCCAGTGGGCCCATGGCCCATGAGTTCTTGGATCCCCCCACCTACTGACTTCACAGTCCACCTTCACATAAGGGGCTGGAAAGGGAAAAGTGTCTTCCCTGTCCTAAGAAAGACCCTGGGAGGGTCTTCAGAGATGCTTTAAACCAGGGAGTCTCATTCAGAGATGGTGTTGCCCTGAAGGGATATTTGGCAACGCCTGGGGACAGTTTGGTTGTCAAGAAGGGAATGGTAGGGATAGCATAGCATCTAGCCACACCCTACCACTCACAGGACAGTTTCCCACAACTAACCCCTTCAGTACACCACAGTGGCACCTGGGGCTCAAGGAGTACAGCGCCGGCCCCATATACCAGAGGTGGCAGGTTCAAACCTAGCCCTGGCCAAAAAAAAAAAAAAAAAAAACCTGCAAAAGAAAAAAAAAAGAATTAGACACCATGAACTAATCCAAGGTGCCTCTTATAGAAGGGGAAACTGAGGCCCAGAAAGCAACAGGGCCAGAGTCACACTGTGAGTTATACAGTGTCAGAATCCATGGCATCCCTCCCACCAGCCACACCACGCTCCAGCTCCCAGGAGTGCAGTGACCAAGTTCAAGACGGTGGCACACTGGTAGGGTGGCTGAATTTGAGACCCTGGGATCTAGAAGCCATGATGTTTGGGCTTCACATTCTTGCAGGCTCCAAATGAAGCCAACAAAGGTCAACCTGAACACCCTAGCCACAGGGCTCCCAAATAATCAAAGAGAAATAATAGCATAAGGGGCTATGATGTGTCCAGGCAAAATGACCCTCCCCAAAGCTTAGACAACACTGGCCTCTCAAGGCCAGAGGATGGAAGGGGTAGCCCTGGTTGAGGTCAAGGTCAGAAAGAGGGCAACTGTATGAGGCAAATGCTGGTTGGGAGGATAGGACATGGTTGGGAATGAAACTTTGGATTACTGCTTTGTGAAGGCCACTATCATTTTTTCCTAGATGCCAAAAATGACTAAATTTCTGGCACCTGTTGGTTCCTCATGGCCATCCTATATAATTTCAAAGTGATGTCCAGAGTAACCCTTACCCTTTTCCCCAAGAAGCCACCACCATGTCCCCAACCATGGGCACACACCCAAGCAGAGCTGACAGTGCAGTCCCATTATTTATGAACAACTGACTCACATCATGTTGCAACAGTACTTTTCCATGCACTGTGGCAGAAAGTCAGAAAACTTGTAGTAACAGGGTGATAAAGAGAAGCCCAGGGGACAGGGATATATTAAGCTACACCTCAGGTCAAGGCCTCACCCTCTACAAAAGATGGAGCCCACAGAGGTGGCTGGGGACAAGGGGTGGGGAGAGTACCTACAATGGCCTCGGACACAGAAGGTACCATTACAGATTCATTTCTCCAGGCAAAGTATTATCACTGCTCCCTCACCTGCCCTGTCCCGTGTCTTCCCAAAATTTTCCAACATGCTGGAAAACTCCTATATATCCTTCAAGGCTCAACATCTGGAGTCCCTCTCCCAATTCCAAGGCTCAGGGGTATTCCAACTCAGAATTTGGCAAACAACAAAAACAATGTAAAAACATGTTTGGGGTCACTAGCAGGGTTTAGGGGAAAAAACCCCAAGTTCCCCATGGATCTGACATATAGGCCCGCACAAGAACTGCTTCCTCAGTAAGAGGTGTGCTGACCACCCTAGCCTCCAGGTTCTCCTACCAGATTCTCAAGTGAAACCTGGGAGCTCTAAGCCTTCCCTGGGCCTTTGGTTACCCTTCTCAGTCAGGTTTACCATACCTAGCCCAAGGCCATCTAAACCTCCACCCTGCCCCCAGGGCTGCCTGGAACCAGGCTTCAGACTTCCTCAACTCCCCCATGCCATGGGGAATTTTTTTTTTTTGTCACCATCAGTAGAGTGCAGTGGTGTCACAGCTCACAGCAACCTCCAACTCTTGGGCTCAGGTGATTCTCTTGCCTCAGCCTCCCAAATAGCTGGGACTACAGGAGCCTGCCACAATGCCCAGCTATTTTTTGTTGCATTTCAGCTAGGGCTGGGTTTGAACCTGCCACCCTCGGTATATGGGGCCACTGCCCTATTCACTGGGCCACAGGCACCACTCCAACCCATGTGTAATTTTTAAAAGCTGTCTGGAGAGGAACTGGCTGCCTTAGAGAGAAGCCCTGGGAGGTTCCTTTTGAGGCCAGAGGTCTGATGGGGATTATTCCTCCCTGGAACTTTCCAATTGCCCCAGGTGGTAGCCATCTGTTCAATCCCTTCTGAGTAACTCTGGAAGCAGCTGGCTTGAAGGTTCTGTCAAGGGGGCTCTTAAGCAAACTAGCAACCTGGTGCAGGAGACAGACTCAGCTTTGAATTAATTTGAGTCCAACTAGGAAAAGCTCTAGTTCTGCCTCCAAGAGTCACTCTTCACCTCTGAGCCTCAGTATCCCCATCTATACACTGAAGAAGGGTGGGTTGGATGTACTCATTTATTCAACACATGTGTGTTAACTATGCACCTACTATAGTCTGGTCCCTGGGGAGAGAGCAGAGAGCCAAAGAGACAGAAAGCCACACCCTCGCATAGCTGATATTCTAACAGACAGTACAGATGATAATCAAGATTTAAAAGGTGGTGCTCGCTTCAGCACACATATACTAAAATGGGAAGGATACAGAGAAGATTAGCATGGCCCCTGTGCTAGGGTGACACACAAATTCATGAAGCATTCCAAGACTTAAAAAGTGAAATAAACAGGGCAGCGCCTGTGGCTCAAAGGAGTAGGGTGCTGGCCCCATATGCCGGAGGTGGTGGGTTCAAACCCAGCCCCGGCCAAAAACTGAAAAAAAAAAAAAAAAAAAACCCAAAAAACTAGCAAATAAAAAGTGAAATAAACACAGTATAGGCTGTCAGAAGGGGATAAGAGATATGAAAAATTCAGCAGAGGAGTGAAGGGAAGTGACCTCTAAGCTTTATAGCAGCTAAGAAATTGTACCTAAAGCTCTTACTGTACTGAGACCTCATTAAGAGCCAAGAAGGTCTGCAGGAAACTGGGCAGGGCCATAGGAGCGTACAAGACAATAAGACTGTTCCTAGGGTAGTGGGGGTGGCAGGTTTATGCATGGGCCTGAGCCCCAGATACTGTCTCAGCAGCCTTCTTCAGGGAAATGACCAGCTCTGGGTGCCCTGGCCTGATCTGCTGAGGAGTGCAGGAGTCACAGGATTCCTGGTAGGGCAGCAACTTCAAGGTACCACCATGGAAAATCTATACCCCTCACTCTGCCTTCTGCATTCTGCCCTGGCCTTACATGAACAAGACAGGACCACTTCCACCTACAGGGGCTCAGACCCATTCCTTCCTTCCTTCTGACCTTCCCCTACCTGGTAGGATATGCCCTCCAGGGAGGAAGAGAGAGGGATTTAAAATTCCCAATTTCTTGGGTGATGCCTGTGGCTCAAGGAGTAGGGCTCTGGCCCCATATATCAGGGGTGGTGGGTTCAAGCCCAGCCCCGGCAAAAAAAACAAAAATCCTCCCAATTTCTCATAAATTTTAGCAATTTCTCTTCATATAGAGATTACTTTTCATCAATAAATCCTTCTTGCAAACTTACTATGCACTCAGGATAAGGCCTGTTCTCTAAGGGATACCATGATGCATGGCCACTGCTTAACAGGGGTCCTCAAACTTTTTAAACAGGGGGCCAGTTCACTGTCCCTCAGATCTTTGGAGGGCCGGACTGCGGGCCCTGAGACGGGTTGTCTGCTAAGCGGATAAATGTCCTCAGTGGGCCGCATGTGGCCCGTGGGCCATAGTTTGAGGACGCCTGGCTTAGAAGGTACTTACAGCTCAGCTAGGGAGGCCAGGCTAACCCTCTCCCTGACACACACAAACACACGAAAACAATCATCTCTTAAAGCTTATTCTGTAGCTGGCAGAGGCCTATAGACCCCTCACTGTCTCATAAAACCACACAGATTCTATTATTCCTTCTTCACAGATGAGGAAATTGAGGCCCAGAGAAGCAAGTTCTCTCCCCCCAATTCATGGTTGCCCCATAAAGTGGTAAAGAGAAAGAGGAGGCAATAAAGATCAAAGTTTCCAAATAAGCCTTCCTGGAGGGATGGGTAAGAATTTCATGTAGATGGAACAAAGTCCCTTTGCCACCAACCTAGGGCAGGGCCAAGCTGGGCATGTAACCCACCACCTTTTACCTCTCCTTGGCCAGATAAGAAGTGATTGAGGGTAAAACAAAAGCTCCTTGTCTGGAGCATGGCCTTGTGGATGTGCTCACTGGTTTTAAAAAAAAGTTGTCCCAAGTGAGGAAGGATGTCGAGAGATCTCAGTGATAAGTGTTGGGCTCCCTTCAGGTCCAACTTCTCAGAGTGTCCTCTGCTCACCAAGGGCAGGAAAACACCAGTTGGAAAAGAAGCTCTGCTGTTCAGGTTAATTCATTCCATTCTCAAAAGTAGAGCCCCTTTCACGTGCCAGGTGCTATGGCTACAGCAGGAACAAAGCAGTCCTGGCCTCCTGCAGTTCTTGGAGCTTAGGAAGGAGCTGGCTCTCTCGTGGAGCAGTTTCCTACTGCTTGGATGTGCTCTCCGGGGTGTACCCCCTTCACAGGAAGAACCGGGGGCATGGGCACAGGGAGAGGGAAGGACAGATCAACCTCTGCTGATCAGAGGAGCAACAAGAATGCAGAAGCAACCATCCGGTTCTAGAAGGCTGTGGTCTGAGGCCCACCGCCCAGTGGTGAAAAGTCCACCACTTTTCTTCAGTAAAGAAAACTAAACGTCATCTTTTCTTCCTCATCTGCTAATGGGCTAACACCTCCTGCCTCACCAGGTTGTTGTGGGAGTCAGATGAGATCAGAGTAGCCTGTTAGTTTTTCTCAGATCCACTGACCCCCTCTCGTCAACCCATTCCTCTCTGAGCTGAGCTCTCCTCCCAACCTAAACTGGGGGAAGCCCATTCTTCTCATACCCATGTTCCTGTGCTCCTGAGCTCTGTCTCTGCCAGGCTGTGGACCATACTCTCTCCTGGGCTTATCTAGCTGTGGCTCGGGAAGTGGCTTCGGCTAGCAGGAAAACGGGACAGCCAGTAGTTGGGTTGCCCTGCGCAGGCTGCACCACCTCACTGGCACCATCTTGCTCACCCCAGTCTCATATGGTGTGAGTGGCCCGAGAAGGCGGGAAACACAAATGTGAAGACATTGCCCACTGTGCAGTCCCCTATTCAAGGATTATTTTAAGAGATAGAGCAGCAGAGGCGGGGGAAGCGCGGGTGTAAACGCCCTGTAGAGTGACAGGAAAAGTGTGAAAAGGCAAAGTCCGCTGATTTCTGCCAGGGCATCAGCCGCCCCAGCTTCACACGGGCACCCAGCGGGCCAAAGCGGTTTGCATTGCTCCGCCGCCCGGCGCAGGGCCGCCTGGGCGCAAACTTTCCGAGACCCGCCCTCGGAGCCGCCACCCGGGCTCCAGAGGGCACAGGAGCCACTGCGGGCAGAGGGCGCGCGTGGACGCGGAGGCGGGAAAGCCGCGTGTGGCGGGTTCCCGTCCCCAGTTACCTGGGTTCCGAGGGTCACGGGCGTGCAGCGAACGGGGCGCTGGGACGCGGCACAGGCAGGCCGGAGACCGGCCACTCCTCCCCGGTCGCGGCGGCCCGGACTCGGCGGGTGCTGCACCTGGCCCGGCGCGTCGCCGGCGCCTACCCACGCCGGTCCCCGCCCATCCCCTCCCGCGCGGGGCGGGGCGGCCCGGGGGAGGAGCCGCGGCCGGTTGGGCCCCCTCCCTGACCCCCGCCAGTGCCTCCCCACGTGCAGCAGACCTTGGACTCAAGAGACCTCCAAAGGCTCACCCCCTCCCCACCTCCACCTCGCCACTCCCCAACCTGGGGTGCCACCAAAGCCATGTGCGGGTGCGGGGGGTTATCCGGGGTGCGCCTAGATCCTCTGGCACCCTACACCTCTAGGACCCATATACTCCACGCCCCCCCATTCCTGCGGGCTGAGGCCTGAGAGCCTCGAGGGCCCTCCTAGAGAGCAGACTGAACTTGCCCCTCAAAAAAATGTATGGGGCAGAGCACAGACAAGGAGAGAAAAAAACCTGGTTACCGGCTGCTCCACTCGCCATGTCCTCTTCACTGGTGGGAGAGGCTTATGCCTGCTCTTGGCCCTGCCATCGGTTCCACCCCTCTCTCTGTAGCGCCCAGAGCGGTGCCTCCTTTGTCAGCCCTCATGCTTCCCCCACCGCTCCTTTCCTAGGTCACAGCTCCCAGACTAGAAAATGCTGGGCCTGGACCTGCGACCCGGTGAACACAGGTGTAAGAGATGAAGAGACGGAGGACAAAGAAACATTTGGCTCCAGAGACCTGGACTCGGGGATACTCCCAGATGTTGAAGAAACAGGTTGTAGCTACTTCCTGCCCCAACCCCTACCCTGCTGTACTAGAGGAACTCTGGAAAATCCACCCCTTGGACCAAACTCTCAGACTGAGGACCTGGGCGGGAAGCCTCCTTGGCCCCACCCTGCAGCCCCAGGCATTCTGAGCTCTGCTCCCAGCCTCGCCTATTTGCTGAGTTCGCAGAGAAAGGAAAGAACTCAGGTCCAGAGATCTGGGCTGTAGTGGTCATTTAACTCTGTGACCTTGGGCAAGCTCTGGCTCCTTCTGGGTCTAAGGTTCCCCATTTGCAGTGAGTTACAGTCAGTTATCTGTAAGTCCCTTTTTATGGATCTTGACTTGAGCTATTGAGCACCTTGCTTTATTGGGTTTTTCTGTGGCTCTACATCTTATTAGGGTGTGTGTGCGTGTGTGTGTGTGTGTGTGTGTGTGTGTGTTTTCTCAGACCTAAGGTCATACAGGGAAAGAGAGAGAGGCCATGTAAACTGGCAGGCAGTCGTTTTCTGCAAACCAGAGCTTGACCAGAGTGACTGGGCATAGGGTGAGTGGAGCCCAGCCCTAGCCCTATGCTGGATCCAGCATAGCCTTGGACAAGTCCCTCACCATCTGCACAATGAAAACTGACAATCCCTGCTTTGCCTTTTCAAGGATGTTGGGGTGATTTGATGAGATAGTAGTTTGAAGCCCTTTGAAGGGGGTCACAGAGGGGTTCCACACTTTCTGACACCACTTTCTGATGCCCAGGATAGTGATGGATTTGAAGGCAGAATATGATGGGAAGCATTATCAGCCTTGTTGCCCACCCTGCACGTGACCAGTGCTCCATCTCGGCTCCTGACCACAGCAGGCGTCTTTGTGTGCATCTTGGGGAATCTAAAGGGGGAAGATAAAGAGGCTCCTAGTGTAAAAGGGTGATTGCCAATGAATGGCTTTTAGAGTATTGTGAGCAAAGACTCCTCGGCTCATAGGGGGTTTAAAGTCTAGCTGAATGGCTAAACCTGAACCCTCTGGAGAAGGATGTGAGTGAGGAGAGGGTGTTGTGGTTGGTGAGCACACAGGGGTGTCAGAGCAGGGGATAGTGAAGGGGGTCAGGAAGAGGGAGGACTGGGTCATGGAGAAGAATTTAGAGAGTATTGGGTTCAACTCATCCATTTCACAGTGAGGAAATAGAGGCACAGAGAGGGGAAGTGACCTGCCCAGAGTCACACAGACACAGGACCATAGCAGCAGAGCTGGAACTTGGGCTCAGGACTTCAGGACTCTGTGTTGAGTTTAGGCCTCTTGAGCATCCCAGGCCAAGGAGACTTGAAAATCACAGGATAGATTGGGATCCATGCCAGGG